ACTGAGTCACATATTCAGCCCTTTTTATATATCTTGTGTTTTGACACAGAGACTCATTAAGTTTCTGAGGTTGTCCTTGATCTTTCAATCCCCCGCCTCAGCCTCCTAAGTCACTAGGATTAAAGGTTTGATTCACTGCACCAAGCCCAAAAATAATAGTTTACCAGTTCTCTAGTTATTTTGGTGGGGGAGGTGGGGGTCTACCATGGATTGAACTCAGGGACACTTGACCACTCACTGAGCCACATCCCCAGCCCTATTTTTTTAATTAGTTGTTCAAAACATTACAAAGCTCTTGACATATCATCTTTCATACATTTGATTCAAGTGGGTTATGAACTCCCATTTTTACCCCATATACAGATTGCAGAATCACATCAGTTAAACATCCAAATTTTTGCATACTGCCATACTAGTGACTGTTGTATTCTGCTGCCTTTCCTAACCTCTACTATCCCCCCTCCCCTCCCATCTTCTCTCTCTACCCCATCTACTGTAATTCATTTCTTTCTCTTGTTTTTTTTTTATTTTTCCCCTTCCCCTCACTTCCTCTTATATGTAATTTAGTATAACCATGAGGGTCTCCTTCCATTTCCATGCAATTTCGCTTCTCTCTCCCTTTGCCTCTCACCTCTCGTCCCTGTTTAATGGTAATCTTCTCCTCATGCTCTTCCTCCCTGCTCTGTTCTTAGTTGCCCTCCTTATATCAAAGAAGACATTTGGCATTTGTTTTTTTAGGGATTGGCTAGCTTCACTTAGCATAATCTGCTCTAGTGCCATACATTTCCCTGCAAATGCCATGATTTTGTCATTTTTTAGTGCTGAGTAATACTCCATTGTGTATAAATGCCACATTTTTTTTTATCCATTCATCTATTGAAGAGCATCTAGGTTGGTTCCATAGTCTAGCTATTGTTAATTGTGCTGCTATGAACATCAATATAGCTGTATCCCATGGATTGAACTCAGGGGCACTTGACCACTGAGCCACATCCCCAGCCCTATTTTGTATTTTATTTAAAGACATGGTCTCTCTGAGTTGCTTAGTGCCTTGCCATTGCTGAGGCAGGCTTTGAATTCGTGATCCTCCTGCCTCAACCTCCCAAGCCGCTGGGATTACAGGTGTGTGCCACCACACCAGCCTCTCTAGTTATTCTTTAACCCGTCAAGTTGATACCTACAATCAATGATGACAAGCATTTTTTTTTTTTTTTTTGAGACATGGCCCTAGGCCAAGTGATCCTCATGCGTAAGCCTTCCAAGGGCTGGGACTATAGGTCTGTGCCGCCCAGCTACAAGTACATATTCTGACTCTTTGATCTGGGATGGAGACTAAGATTTTGCACTCCTAAAAAGTGCTGAGGTGATTTTAATGCATCCCTAGTCATGGAACCATATTGGGTAACAGGTTCTGGTGGGAATTAACCCAGCCTGTGGAAGGCAGATAAGCACAACTGGTACCTGGGTGGTGCTTCCCAAGTCTATGTCCAGACAGGATTTCATTAAGCTAAACATTATTCCACCCAGTGAGAGTAACACAATTCAAGTCATGAAGTATACGTATTTCCTCTTAAAAAAACAATGCTGAAAAGCTATGGAGCATGTGGGCTTCAAGGAGAAGGAAGCTAGAATGAAGTATTACAGGAAAAAGGTGGAGATCAACAACATGCTAGAACATTAATTTTTGTTGCTGTTTCTAATGTAATGGCAATTTGTTCTCAATTTATCTGTTTTTTTATGATATGCATAAATAGAAGCTGTGTTGGCCACATTGAAATCAATTACTTTTGCTTCAATTAGTGGTAAGAAAAGTTAGAGTGGCAAATAAATATGGAACACTCAGAAAAGAGGGACTTGTTTATGCTATGCCCTCCCTCAACTATTTATGGAGCCCCTTGCAACAAGCAAGATACTATGTTGAGTTTTGGAGATGCAGGAGCATGGCTATCTCACAGGCATTTGTGGGATACTGATGCAGAACAGTTTTCAAAATGAATTAAAACTGTGATCTCTGAGGTAAAGACGTGACTCAGTGATAGAACACTTGCCTAGTATACACAAATCCCCGGCTTCTATCCCCAGTACAGGGGAAAAAAAATACAAGTAAATAAAATAATTGTGATCTCTTAAGGAGAAAAGGAAGCAAACTTTGAGAACATTTAAACTGAGAGATTTGACTTGATGTGTAGGAAGGCTTCCCTGAGGAAGTGATGTTTGAGGTAAGATCTGTGTTGTAATTAACATTGTGAAGAGGCTAAACAGGTAAGAAGGCATTGCAAGTGGAAAGAAGCTGGCCCTCACCTGGTGAGGTCATTCAGGTGTTCAATACACAGCCTTACCTGATTTTAGGTGTGACCCCAGGAGTTTTGGTATTATTGGTGCTGATGCCAAGACGACCTGGGATTTCGCACATCTCATGCCTGGTCTCATCCGTGGTAACATACCTACCTGACGTTGTCCACATGTGACTAGCACGTACTGGGTGGCTCAGCCGTGCCTTTACTTCCACATTCCTTTAGCCTCATCCTTAAGCTATAATCTATAAGACACACCTGCTTTTAAATTTTCTTTTTCTTATAAATAATATGTTATATGGATTGCATTGTGATGATAAAGCAATACTTTAAAACACATTCTTTTATGTTTACAAAGTGAGCTCTACCATTTTTCAGACTCATGATCAGGTTTGGAAAACTCTCCTGCATATTGATTGAGTGGGCAGGATTTTGAAGAATGGACCCTCTTAAGGCTCCGTGATCCTGGACAGAGACTTTGGTCATTAACACATTTGGTGTTCAAAATCCTGCTGTAGGGTAGGCAGTGATGGCTAAGGCTCAGAGAAATGTTCTTGCCCCATGTTAAGGTAATGAGTAATTAATGACAAAGCTAACCCTGAGTACTCATTTTTCTAGGTGTTTATATGTAGTCTCTCATTATCTCAAGAGTTCTTGGCTTTGCTCTCTCAGAAGCTCCTCCTTTGTCTTTTAATCTTCTTTTACAACAAGCTTGTGGAGTCAGGGAGCATTTTCATGTTTAATGCAATTACAACCCCCACCCCCAGGACTCAGTCTTTTTAGAGACTTTAGAATAAATAGAGGACTAGAAATGGCTTGGTAGTAGCATGTCTGCCTATGAAGCACAGGCTCTGGGTTCCATTGCCCAGCAAAAATAAATAAGCAAATACTATAAGTAAGTAATAAATTACTTATTATAGGGGGAAATGGTTAAGGAGAATACATTCGCAATTGAGAACTCTTGGGTCAGGTAGCTTTCTTCTCTTCATCCTTCTTCATTACAATTTTATAGCCCCATCCAGCTTGAAAAACTTAAATGCAGAAATCTGCCTGGTGTGAGTAATCTGACCACAAGGGAGCAGCATGGGACCATAGTTCTGTCTGAAAATGAGCAGGTTGTTATCAGCTCTCTCCCAGGTGAAAAATGTGGATCTCAGGTGCTCACAACCTTTTACAAAATTGCAGGTGGGTGGACCTCATCAAGTCAATTGTATTTTCTATTACTGGGAGTGGGGCACAGTCAACACTCTGGTTTAAATTTTCTCAGATGATTTTGGTATAAAAAGAGGTTGGAGGACATAATGGAAAATACTGAATCTCTGAAACTTGTAAAGGCTTCCTGGAATCACTTAGCCAAACCCATCTGCTCCCATTTCTCTGCCTCAGGAATAGATGCTTGGAGATAGAAATATTAGGTTTGGTGTCACTGAAGACAGTGCCAGGACCCACTTCTCCTTGCTCCACAGCACAAGACCCCCATGAACCAGCAGATCATGATGAAAAGTAGACATTGTTGGGGCCACATGAGGCCTAAAGAGCAGCAGAGGTTAACACTAGATAAACAGGACAGGGCACAGCACACAGGTACAGACTTTGATATCCATACCAAGGAACAGAGACCTTGATAGAATGTTCTAGATTCCAGCCCACATGAAGTAAAGAAGCATTGAAGGTGTTTAAGTCTGGGAGGGGTGCAGGAGTACAGGTACTCAGAACCTTAGAGCTCCTGGGGGCTGGGGTTGTAGCTCAATAGAATACCTGCCTGGCACATGAGGCTCTGAGTTCAATCCTCAGCACCACAAAAAAGAAGAAAGAAGAAAGGAGGAAGAGGGGAGGAGGAGGAGGAGGAATTGCTCCTGGGAGGGGGATTGACGGAAGGCCCAGAAATGGAGGCAGCATCCAGCAGACTTCCCTAGAACCCTCCTTTTCAGGATCCCCAGAACATAGAAAAGATGCAAATCTTGGAAGGTGTCCTGGAAATATTGGTGGAATAGAATGGAATGTTTGTGTAGAAGAATGTCCTCAATGGTGGGCTGTGGCTGAGGACAGGTAGTAGAGAAGATGGAATAAATAGAGACTAGTTTGGAGAGTATCAGGGACTCCACATCTGAGGGTTCTTCTAGGTCTGACGGTCTATGGGACTGTCAGAACCCTGGGGAGCAACCGTGGTGTTCAAAATGAACACCTTCTCCTTGTCTTCTGGTCAGGATATCCTTGGGGAACCCCAGAAAGCCCATCCCAAGAAACCTCCAGAAGCACAACATTCATACAAGGCTTTAGAGCTTTGATGTGCTGGCTGTGATGGGTCCAGGTCACTTCTGCCCGGCCTCACTGCCTCTCTGTGAGGTGCTGGGATCCGAGAGACTATTAACTTGGCGTCCTCTGCACTTACAGGCTTTCCCCCAGCAATCCTATTCTGTATTTTTACCACATGACACTGGTGGTGGGTGCTCTGTCCTTCTTCTGTGACTTCTGGCCACCACACAGATACACACTCTATTTTTTCCAAAGCTGGGTATTTGGGAAGAGGCCTTGTACAACCGGGCCTCCCCAGAAGTGGGTAATATTTTGCTTCTGAACATGTGGTGGGTCAGATTTTATAAGGCAGGGTAGGGAGAAAAGAGAGGATTCAATTAATACTATCCTCTACCAGAAAGGCGATTGAACTTTTCAAACATGGGTGTGTGCTCTTTTATTTTTCACCAGAACCATCTGAAGTGAGGAGGCAACTGATATCAAGAATGAACCCATCCCGCTCTCTCTGACCAATCCAACCGAGGAAAGGGAGCCTTTCCCTTAAAAAGAACTCACAGGTGAAGTTGATTTCTCACCTTGGACCAATGGCAGAAGTATAAAAACATGGATCATCACAACTGTCAGATATGAGGGAGTTATTCCTGTAAAGAGTGAAATTTGTTGTTATTTTTTTTCAATGCTGGAAATTGAACCCAGGGTCTTGTGTATGCTAGGGAAATGCTTTACCACCGAGTCATGCTCCCAGCCCCAAAGAGCAAATTTTAGTACAGTTATGCAAGTTGAAGCCTTTACTAACACCAACCATCTTCATGCTCTTTGAAAGGCTATAGTCAGCAGGTGCATTCAGAGAATCTAGATATTTTCCTTTAACATGTACCCTCCTTTTAATTAGGGTGATCTGGCAGCTCTTGGAAACTCTGCCTTGTCAAGTTAACATCATTCCTTTCTGTCTCATTAGGGATGATTTGGTGCTCTGGTCTTCCAGATCACACCTGCAGGGCCCAGCACTAACACCTGTGTAGAAATGGGTTCAGGTGTCCAGTTGAACTAGACTAGTAATTGGGGTTAGTCTCAGTAGTATTCTATTTATCTTGTAGTAGTTACAAGTCTGCTTTTATCTTCTAATTTCCACATGGGAAGGTTGATTTCCACTTAAACAAGGATCTATTAAACTGGGATCAATAGAGTCAAGGTGTATATGTGGCCTCCAAGGATATCAACCCACAGGGGTGTGTGTGTGTGTGTGTGTGTGTGTGTGTTCGTTTTTTTGGGGGAAAGTGATAAAGACTTTTGGCTGAAATTTAAGCAACTATGGAATAATCCTCAGGAAAGTTTGGCTTTTGTTCTTTTTCAGTCACCACTGGGTACAAGGTGAGCTTTGGCCTTCTTTGGTGATTCACATTCAGATTATTCCCCATCTCTATCCATATCTTTTATTTTCACCTTCCACCAAATTGTAGACCTATTTGTAATGAGTTTCTCAATGCATGTTTATATATATTTATAACATATATCACACTCATACACACAGATGCATCATAGCCAAGTGGAATTAGTTCTAGAAATGAAAGGTTTGTTCAATATTAAAAAACATCAGTTTAGTATAATTTTATATAATTTTAGTATAACTCAACATATTTTTAAGAAAGAAACCATATAAGCATTGAAGACTAGAAATATAAAACTCAGTAATATAGTACTTGCCTAGCTTGTGCAAGGCCCTGGGTTCAATCCCCTGTGCTGAAAATAAAATATATAATATGTATATTATATATACACACACATATATATATACACACACATATATGTACACACACATATATAATAAGTTAATTATTTGATATATATGTATATACACATATATATCAAAAAGCACTTGATGAGATTCAATGACTATTAATAGCAAAAATTTGGAATTTAAGGGAACTTCTTTAGCTTTGTCTTTATGAGGGATATAGATGGAAAAAAACTGTAGCAAGCATCATATCTATGGTGAACACCAAAGGGAAGCTTTTTGGTATCACTAGGTATATCGGGGGAAGTGTTGGGTGTGCGGGGGAGGGAACCCAGGGCCTTGCACATGCTAAGCCCATGCTGTACTACTGAGCTACACCCCCAGCCTCTGGTCTCTCTAGTTTTATTTAATGTTGCTTTAGTCATCTTTTTCACTACTATAACTTAACCAACAAGAACAATTAGAGAGGATGAGAAGTTTATAAGGGAAACCTATGAACAAGGACAATGACAGCTAGAATTTACTGAACACTTGCCTTATGCCAGGTTTGTTACACAAATTAATTCACTGAATGTCCCCAGGCTCACGGGTTTCAGAGGTCTAAGTCCACATACAGCTGGCTCCATTACTCTGGGCTCTGGTTTAAGGCAGAACATCATGGCGGAAGAGTATGGGGGAGGAAGCAGCCCAAATAATGATAATAAAGCAGAGAGAAAGAGATACAAAATATATACCCCCAATCCACACCCCCCAATGGCCCACCCACTCCAGCCACACCCCATCTGCCTTCAGTTACTACTCAGTTAATCCCATCAAAGGATTAATTCACTGACGGGGCTAAGGCTTTCATACCCCTATCATTTCTCCTCTAAACCTCTTTGCATTGTCTCACACATGAACTTTTGGGGACACTTCCCATCCAAACCAGACCAAACATTCTAGAGGTCTCAGCAAGTGCAAAATGATACAGATAGGAAAGAAAGAAAACAAAAATTATCTGCTAATGACATGATTGGACAAATCACAAAACACAACATCCAATTATTAGGGAAGATATAAAAAGGTCATAGTTTCATCTGTTTTGTTGTTGTTCTCTAACCTGGCCTATGTGAACACCATTCACTTTGTGGAGTTTAGATCATTTAATTCAAATGATAAAAACGTGAGTAGAAAATATTCTGATATTAAAAATTAGAGAGTCAATATAGAGACCCAGAATGACAATATTTGAACATAGCCTTCATGATATATTATCTGTATGAATTTGGGCAAGTTGCTTAATTGCCCTGAACTTCAGTGTTCTTATCTTAAAATGATATAAATTAAAATGAAGCCAGGTGCTTTGGTGCACACCAGTAGTCCCACCACTTGGGCGGCTGAGGCAAAGGATCACTTGAGCCCAGAAATACAAGGCAACGCAGCAAGACCCTATTTCTAATAAAATAAAATTTAAATCTCCCAGAGGACTCCTTAAAACAGAATGCTGGGCCAGGAGTGTAGCTCAGTGATATAATGCTTGCCTATCATATTTGAGGCCTGGCTTTAATTCCCAGTACCACAAAAACAAACAAACAAAAACAGATTGCTGTGCCCTGCCCCAGGGACCCTGATTCAGTCCATGGGGAAGGAGGCAGAGAATTTGCATTCTAACACGTCCCTAGTTGAGGCTGATGTGCTTTGAGAACTCTGGGGACACTCAGTGAATTAATTTGTGTAACTAAAGTGCTTCTCAGAGGACTGTCACAAGGCAAGTGTTCAGTAAATGTTAGCTGTCATTGTCCTTGTCCATAGCTTTCCTCATTGATGGTGGTTGTCCCTTTAGTCATCTTCACCATCATCATCATACGTAATGCAATAGCTCAGTAACTCAAGACATTTCCCAAACCTTCACGGTTAAAATAATGACATTAATACAAATGGAGATTCTTGTAGCATTCCTGAGCAGTTCCCATGGAAAGAACTGAACCCAGTATCCATGGCAGGTCTGCCTCTGGGCAGCCCAGCCTGGCTTATCCCTATAGTTGTGGAAATAAATGAAGATCAATCAAATGAGAACAGCAAAGTTCATTTATTCTGAACTTGCTACAGTAAGGGAGCTGGCTGTTGTCACTTGCTTGGGCAGAGATTCAAAGGCAGGCAGAGAAGTGAGGAAGCTTTATAGTAAATAAAAGGGACAGCTTCAGTAGCCTTGATTGGAGACTGTTGGTTTGGGGAAACAGCAGAAGGGCTGACTACAAGTGGGGTATCCAGTGTGGTTGGTTAGGGGTAACTATCTTGTTTTCTCTGGGTTTTCTGATTTAGGAGGTGGAGATAAACACTAGAGAAGCTCCTAGTTTTTAAATCAAATCTTAGCCATTTGAGGATGATTGTTACAGGAGTTGTTTAGGTTGCCTAGTTGTCCCTAGAGACAGTGATCTGGCTTCCTACAATCCTGACTTACAGCAGGCTGGCTTCCCGGCTGACTTAGTACAGGTAAGGCATTGGTTTACTGGGCAAGATGCATAAGTTATTAACCAAGGTACAGTCATCATGTGGTCTGGCCTTTGTCCACATGTTCATTCAATCTCTCAGAGTGCAGAGACAGTCTAAGGGAGAGGAAGTCCTGCTGCACTGACCAGTGCTCCATCCACTTGGTACACATGGCCCTTGTTACAACTCAGACAGCCTCACTTCCACATCATCTAGTGGGAGCCAAGGAAAGGACCTGTTCTTGGCACATGAGCAGGTCCAGACTCAGGTTACCAAAATCACAGAACAGATCCTATAATTTACTGAATTACAAGCTAATGCCATGTGACAAGCATCTTATCGACCATGGACAATTCTTCCATGAGCAAAGGAAATTTCATTGTAGTTGGTTTTTTTTTTTTTTAATATACATATGCCACAGTCTGGCTGGGCAAAATAACCGGGGGGGTGACAAGCAACTTGTGAAGGTTGAAACAGTGGGAGCCACTTTATTACGGGACAGCAAAGGTATATATACTTAACTAATTACACACAACTTAATTATCATCATCTAGATACAGCAGTCAGTCATTAAGGAATCCTCATCATCTTAATGACTCGCTGGCGTTACTTCACGAACCACTCCTCCTGGCAAAGTGCCAGGCGCCATCTTGACTTGGTTGTGGTCCTCAACATGCATACCCATGTTTATAACTGCATGATTCAACAACCAAACTATAGAATCAGCCTAGGTGAATACACAATGAAGTTCTATTCAACCATTAAAAAAAAAATTATGTCATTTGCAGGAGAAGGGATGAAACTCGAGAACATTATGAGAATAAGCCAAACTCAGAAGGTCAAGGGTCTTATGTTTTATCTCACATGTAGATTCTAAAGAGGAAAAAAGAAAAGAAGGTGGGAAGAGAAATCTCATGAATACTGAAATAAGATCAGTAGAGTAGCAGAAAGGGGCCATGGGTCAGGAGAAGAGGAGAGAATGGAGAAATAGTGGGGAATGATATTGGCCAAATTACATCGTTATATTGTGGGCATGTACAATTAAGTAAGAGACTTACCATTATGTACATCTATGATGTACCAATAAAAATGTATCTGTATGGGGAAAAAAGAAGAAAAAAATGGCTGGGACATGGCCAGGCAGCTCTCCCCATAGGCAGGTGTGACAGTCTTGCTTGCATGGCACTGGCTTCCCTGAGAGCAAGCATTCCAGGAGACCCAGGTGGAAGGGACAAGCCTTCCTGGGATCCAACTTGAAAGTTACACAATGAGAGAGGGCCTCGGACAAGAGAAGATACAGAATCCAGACAGAGGATTTAGCTTTAGACTGCAAGAGAAAAATCTCTTGTTATATTGGGAAAGGATGGGGATGGGTGGAGCAAATATGAATAAAGAGTGGCACGTGGAGTCCAG